AAATCAAAGGTCACTCCAGTCTAAAAAAAAACCCAACAAAGTCTGAACAAACTTTCAATGTCTTCTATAACAGACATAATATTACCCAAGACTATCGATAAAGGGGACGCGTTAGATGCAGTGAAGTAGAAACAGATTTTTTATCTTTATTTAAAGAGCTTTGTCACAAAATGCGACTACGCCGCTCTATACATATGTTTTGTAATACATATAATAAAATAGAGAGAGAATTGAAGCAGGTTTAGCCTTAACTTCAAACCTCGGAAAACGTATGAAATCCTCCAACCCGATTGAGGCCAGAGTGGCAGACAATATAAATGGATTGGTGATGTAAAGGTCTTATAGAGACAAGTTAATTATTCGATCTCCAGAATATAAGTGACTATAAATATAGTCCACCTACGTCACAGCATTAGAATGATTTTTTTTCTTTAAATAGCCAATTGTTTACATACAATTTTTTCTTATTCTTAAATATTTCCTACAAAAAAAGTTTTTCACTTTCAGCAATTCTACTAGGGATGTGACTTATCCTGACTCTATGAACAAACCAAATGACCTATATGAAGGGACTACATAGCTTTTAGAAGCACCTGTAATTTCTGATAAAACTATATGTGTTAAACTATCGTTCAGGGTGAAAATATTTGTACCTGCTTTAAACTTTATAAAGTTGAACGATATACTAACTGTCCAGTGTTGTAATGCCACTGAAAAGACAATTATTTATCTTTTATAGGAATTAAACTATTTTTCCGAATCAGGTCAACCGTGACTACCGTAAGAACTCGATATATTTACCTTTTAGTTTTGCAAAAAAAGGAAAGACTTTTGCGGGCACAACATGTCACAAATATTTTATCACAATCAGATAAATAATAACGAAATGCGTACTACATATTCATATTATTATATATATTATAATAAATAATTTAGAAATATTTTGTTTTTATGATTTCAAGTGACGGGACGAACAAGAGGTATATGAAGTTACCATAAATCATCAATCATAACTGCCTGCTTAGCCGAACGGGTACCATGCTGGACTGCCACACACATGTCCCAGGTTCGATTCCCGGGCCGGGATAAATATTTGTATGGCCTACATTTATTTCTCTCGTGGGTTTGGGTGTAATTTGTGGTTGTCTATGTGTGTGTGTGTCCATGGCACCCGCGACCTAGGGTTTCCCCAAGTGCGGGGCTGTGTTGAGTGAGTGCGTTATTATAATTATTATAAAGTTAAGCAGTATAAAAAAGTTTTCGCAATGATGGATATAATATATTCTACATAAGACAAATTTGAGTAAATTATTTAGCTCCGATAATTTTGCTTCAAATATTAATCTTTGTTATTATTACCTCACCTCGTTGGGAACGATATTGTCAATAACGCAATATCCATTCCACTCAATATATTTGTATATGTAGTTCTAGTAAAATGAAATATGTCATTTTTAAATGGAGACCAATTTAATGAAGTTGTGTACCGCCCGATTATCCACCCACCAATTTCTCAATCTATTGACGTGTTTCTTCTGTTCATGAGTAGAGTCGATTTGCAAGTACATGCAAGCGGAAAAGTGGTTCACACTACTAATTTCAGATTTTAATAAGTAAACAATCAGTCAGCTGTGACCATGAGACCTATAAAGTGCACGAAACGTTGATTTGTTTGAAAAACAAATATTTAAATTCATTTCCTATGTTGCGAAAACCTCTCGAACTCGATACAGAGGGAAGTACCTAAGTAAATTTGTTTTCCTACGATGTATTATTATAATACATATTATACATGGGTGGTACATAACATTAATAATATTAGATTCGAAAATCATAAACATTTTGCTTCGATGGCAGCAAAGGCTAAAACAAAGCCATATCGGCTTTGCAGCCCTCTATGTCATCAATCAAGTCCCTCCCCGCAGCCTGCGCTTTGATAACTTCCGCTTCACTTACTGAATACACCTAGGTAAAAAGCAAATAGATGTATTTTGGGCAACTTACAAAAGCACTTACACCACAAAAAGAACAAAAAATTTAAAACTTTTTTCTTTTTGTAAATGAAGTGGAGTGAGTCTAATGATTAAACTCATGACACAGCGTTTTTGAGTTATTTTGTTTTACATTACCTACAGAAACAAAACATCATATTTTCCTTCTTTTTCGTTCATTTATTCATTCATTTGCTTCGTTTCCAGAGAAGGAGAGCCTTCTTCTGTTTTTAAAAATAAGTCGTTCATTCATTTCGAGTTCTTAGGTTTTCGCGATTGTTACACACAGAAAATGAAACTATTTTCCCGGATTTAAATCGCGTATATTTGTTTTTTCAAACAAACCAAAGTTTCTTTACAGGTTCCATGGTCACGGTTGACTCAGTCAATGTTTCATTTCCTATTGTTCATTTATGTTCAATATGTAAGAATATCCCTTTCTAATGAATTGGACAAGAACTCGTTCCCAAAAAAAAAGATTCGGTCGAGAAAATTCTCCAAAAGAATTTGCAATAGAAATGTTAAAATAGAGAATGGCAGTAAACCCTTGCAATACATCAATAAAACAACTAAAGCGTACCATTCCCGGCAGACAATACATAACGCTGTAAGCTCCGTAATGAGGAGTAACGGGCGACGCGTGCGTGGCCCGCCTAATATCCAAACATGAGAGAGATATATCCACTTACCGATAGGAGCGAGCGAGATATAAGATAAACTTCATATCTAAGCAAGAAGACCTATGTGCTATATGTGGGCAGTAAATACAACGGTCTTGGAATTTCCCAGCATTTTCCTGTAAGATGTTGACTTTAAAGTCCATTGTAGAGTCAATATTATTTTAAATTTATGTTGAAGACGCAACCGATTTGTGTGGATGATTGTACTTGTAATGTTGCTTAATTTACGTCTACGTCTTATCGAGTGTATATTGCATGATATTGCTTAACTGTGACAAACATATACAATATACAGGTTTTATTATATCTAATGTAAATTGTTAATTAAATGTCGCATCTAATAATTATACAGTCGTAAATTGATAATTCTTATCGGAGTTTAAACTCAAACGTCGTTCAAATAAAAAAATTGTTTCTAATCCGTTTCATGATCAAGAAAAAAACTCAGCCAGTAAAATCGCTGAAAACAAAACGCCCGCAGCGAAACTCTCATTAAGCGAGCACTAATTAAAAAGTAATTAAATTCGCGGGAAAAAGAGAGCGCCACATTAACTGATACTAATAAGACCGTCAAACAATTACGAGAGACTCATCCTCGCAACAGAGACGACAAGACTCCCCTCAGCTCTCTCTTTCTCTCGACCGGCACTCTCTATTTAACTTTTAATTTATACTCATTCCTTTATATCTTTTATTGCTTCGCCCATCGCGACTCCTAATGCGCCTGAGGTGCTCCTCACACTAATTAAATTCATGCAACACTAAGCTTTCCTAACACCCCCTGCTGTTGGCCCCTCCCATACCTCGCCCCTCTCCACAGCAACGGACTAATCAGAAACGCGAGCGGCTCCTCCACAATGGAGGGGCGGGACACGCGGTACAGTCAGTGCGAGATTTCTGATAGAGCTGTCATGTCGCGTCCGAGCGATCGTTACGCTGTCTTGACATATTTTATTATTATTTATGTCAATTAGGTTATTACTTTTTTATTTAATGGAATAAGGAATTGGTTGTGAAATTGATTGCCTTTCGGTCGCTTATGATTCATCACTGTCAAAAATATAATCTGAAACGTGTTAATTTTGTATGATTGATAGTTTGTAGCCATTAGAGTGATTGGCCGGCGACCGGGGTAATCTAGTTTTACGCAACTATTGTACCGACAGACGAACGGACGGACAACAATGCTTACCTAATGCTCCATCCGCTAGATTAGATGTTGATTGCTTATCACCTGTCAAATTCTAAACGTGAAATACACTACCATTATCTCCAAAGCAATTTATGAGTTTCTCTTCTTCTTACAATGTTAATTTATTTGACTGTAGTTTGAAAAAAGTATCTACTCAAAAAAATATACAACTCAATAACAGTCAGATGTTAAACTTTGTTCTATACATGGTTATTTATTGATATAAATAAATAGCATATTATTATACTTAGTATAGAAGTGTAGAATTTTCATAATATGATCATTATTTAGCAATAACGTCATTCATCAGTAACCACACCAATTTGCAGCGCAGGCTATAAAATCGTAGCAATAACAATCTTTTGTACACGCCGATGTTACATGCCAATACATATTTCCTTATTACATACGGGGAAATCGACAAAACGTTTGTGGTTGCTTTCCATAACATAACTCCTTACAGAATTCTCCCTACATGTCTGTTTGTGCCGCGCGCCATGCGGCTAAAAAAGATTATGAGCGTCCCGCAACCCCGCCGGCACAGGCCATGGAAATCTCAAGCGGACCCACCATTTCATGCCTTAATATACTTTACGACACACAGATAAAGTTTATTTCTACTCGCCTACGCTCGGCGCCTATGCCTTCGTTAATTCAATACGCGCAAAGCCTTAATTTATTATCCACCATTCAAAATCGATCTATAAACTCCCGACATAAGGTATAACATCGTTTACCAGGCGAATTCATGGTACTGTCAGTGGAATAAATCTATAATATGAAAGAGGCGGGGAATTAATTTACGCTTGGGTGGGGGTAAGGGGGCCTGACCCCGCCCTCCGGCGGCGCGCCATCTCAGTGCCAGGCTCGGCAAGCCTAGTGAGCGCACATCCCTCACTCCGGGATCGGGAAAATGTGTGTGAAGTAAACACAGCGACGGAAGGCATCACATGTCACGAAAAATAACTGAGTCGCGGCAGTGCTGGTGTTGATTTTGTTCGGGGACGTGACTTGATCGAGTGATACTAAAATGACAGTTGGAAATGGTATATTGTCGGAGTCACGGCGGTAAGGGCAGTGCAGTGGTCGGGCGGCAAGATATCAGGCGCGGGTAGTCGGTGCGGCAGCGGCGGCGGCATGGTGCTGGAGGGCAGCGGGCTACCGGCGGGGCTACAGCTGTACGCGGCGGCAGCGGCACAGCTGGCCCCGCGGCCCACCTGGCCGCCGTTCCTGCCATTCTTCGGCGTGCCGCCGCCGTTCCTCGCGCGCCCGCGTCTGCCGCACCCGCTGCCGGCGCGCGCGCCGCACGGGCCACCCAGCGAAGATTCCAATGAGGATGGTGGCAGCAGCAAAGGTAGGCCCAAATCTACTCTAGCTTTGAAAGGAACTCAACACGACTGACTGTCTTTTATTTTTTATATTTTAAAAATGAACAATATTCAAAAACATCTTTCTCAATGAAGAATAATTATTATTTTTTTTATAATACTCTGAAAATCTTTTAAGCTTATCTTTTAGCTAACATATAAATATAATATTCTTTTTATTTGAAACTTTACAGTTTCCCTTCACATATTTACCATTTAAAAAGATTCAGTAATGTAAAGCAAACCATTGTAACATTATCAATTATTATCATACACAGTTATACGTTTTGAGTCTAATATTTTTAAAAAAGAAATTTAAGAAAATGAAAACAAAATTGCCTTTAAAAACACAACCATTAATTTTAGATTTGTTGAATCCTTACGAAAAATATGTAGGCTGTTTAAATTTTATGTTACGCTCATATTATTCTCATATACCTATATTCCTTCGAAAGTATATATTACTAGATAATATTTATTTTCTTTAGAGCCAAAAATTTGACTTGTAATTTTATGTTCATTTATGTAATGTTCCTTTAAAGTAACTCTATAATCACTTTTATACTACAGTACGGTAAATTCTAGTTTTGTAGTATTTCTTAGCTTATTGTTCATTTAAATTTATACTATCCGTTTACTTTATTGTAGTCATAAAATTATGTTTATTTCATATTCATATCAGTATAAATACACCCACTGCTGGTAACGGGCTTTCTCAACAGGGAGAGTATTGCCGTTAAAGGCGTCTAGCAGGTTGATAGAAGGGTGATATAAATTTGTTAACGAACTTTTTTACGTTATCTGTATTATCTATATTAACCAGAATCAAATGAAATAAATATAAATTATTTCTTTCTTTCGAGAGGAAAATAGAAGAATCAAATTAATTTCCATTCGATATCAATAGAATTAATTTACTCTTATACCCGTTTTTAACATAGTTAATGTCGCATTGTTTTCAAAGTAAGACTCTTAATAATTTTAGCAAAATGAGAAAAAATTTTGATGATATCTTTTTAATTAAATTTCTGTCGACAATAAATTAACGAATCGTAATTATATACTTGTAATTAAATTTGTGTTTTCCGTCAGAAAGAGCTGTTTCTTTTTAGATTTTTAATATGTACAATATAATTTCCACAATAAAGTATATAAATAATGAAGGAATCCAACTTCGATCATTTGTTTTTTTAGAAAGAAAACGTCATGCCGTCCAGTCTGATGTTGCTCCTTTTATAAAATAATGTGTATTTTGACCTTACGCGTTAAATTATTTCTATATTCTTTAATAAAGTGTTAATTATAAAAATCAAATATAATATTAATTGATTTGATTTTTATAATTAACACTTTAGTTAATTATAAATAAAATAAGTAAGTACAATTGTCTGCTATTAAATTTATATTTATATAGAGTAAATTGGTTACATAACATATTTAGCCATATATGTATATGATGAAATTTTTAAGAATTCTTTAATTTTAATACGCCATTTCGTACGTTGGTCTTTACGTAAAAAACATAATATTAAAATAAATTCGTAACACAGCTCGTTTGAAGAAAATCTTTAATATAACATAACTGATTCTTTACAAAAAAAAATATTCCAGAAAGAAATTGAACAATTACTGGCAAATTCCGCTCTACATTACCAGCGACATTTCCCTTTCTCCGCTCACTTACCGAACAAAATGCACCTTCATGTATCTGAAGACATAATGACGCATTCCTTTGACATTCACAGCTGTAATTGCACCCACAGCGGTGTGGCGAACTTAACTGCTTTGTCAAAACAACCATTATCACGTTGCGTTGTCACAATTAATTAAATGCGACAAGCGACAGCGATTACAAATGTATTCTTGTAATATAGCTCAATATCACCATCCTCTCACCTTGATCTTTCGGTTAAATCGCATTTCGGGCTCATTGCACACCTTCATTAATTGGTGCAAGACCGCTAGCGTAATCACTTAAAGAATTAAGAAACCGGCACTAATCCGTAATCGTATTTGAACTCTCAATCGACCGGCTGCCAACAAGGTCGCATTATTCACATTGACTGTAATCCAATAATAAAACACCTAGATTAAACACTCAGGAGAGGGCTGTCCATGTGTAAGGGTCATGTCCGTAGAGCCAACCAGCTGACCTAAGAAGATTAAAAGTAATGTCTTAATAACAGAATAAATAATGCGCCTGCATACGTTGTCGCGTCCGATACACTTATCCCTTCAGTCATAACTTATTACTTTAATATTATTATAAGTCTTCATGCCCAAATATTCTCGGGTCGGAATAAATTTTATATTAATAAAAAATAAACGTCAGGCAAGGTGCGAAGAGGCTAACGAGCGTAATCCAAATGTAAGTTATTAGTTGCGCGGCGGGGCCGCCTGCTGCGCGTACGACGCTCGCTCGCCGCATCGATACCCAGATTTTATCGAGTCTTTTGTCGGCGCTAGCGCTTAGGTGTTACCCACGAAATTAGGATGTTAAATGTTTTGTGGATGACGCATAGCTCCACAGCCAGGCTTTGACCTCGGCCAGCCGCGCCGTCCACTCCCGCGCCGCTCTCTGTATCATTGTCATTTTTTATCACGATTCTAATAGAAATATCAATAGGTTTTTTTCTAATATCGTAGTTATGAATATGAGAATTCGAGATGATTTATTTGGTTATTAAAGAAAAACCTCGTTAATATGAATGGTGTTTATTGCCTCTCCTAAATAAGTGCTAAGTCGTGAAATATGGTCCTGTTATTTCTAAAGATGGGAGGAATTTTAAAATCAAACAAGTATTAAATATACTATCAAAGTCAAATTATAAAGAAACGATTTATGGGTGTAGTGGAAATGAAACGTGCACATATAAGTTTAAAAACTGCAAGAAACGATTCACAACCACTTTAAAACTCTCTCTATCCCTTCACTATTTCATTCCCATGCGAACGTTGAAACAAATTGCAACTTAAAATTGATAATAGTCAAAACTACACTTAGTAGGATAAATAATTATTTCACTTCTCATGCTTTAAAAGTACGTCAGTATATAGCCTCACAGAGTGGAAGTAAAATGCATCATTTAATGCTTAGGGAATAAAAAGTTTACCTAGTTTTTTAATTTACTTCGAGTGACCTAGGCAAACTCAAACAACCAGTACTTGCTCTAGTTTGTGCCAAAAGACAAAAGTTCAATAAGTAAACAATGTAATTACTACTAAAACAACACTCAAAGATATATAAACAAGATAATTATAATAATTCATCAAAGTAAGTAAACCTACAGATCGCTGCGCTTTGGAAATTCAATAAAAAATAGTGCTTGTGTGTGGACCATTTTCAGTACGAAAATGTTACGTTCTAAAACTTGACATTTTAACGAATTTTCATATTTTAACGGAATTACTATTATTTTAATATTTCTATGCGGCTTGTTGGCAAAATATGCTGAGTTTATTAAATTTTGTAACATCTGATTTTAGTGTACCATATTTACAAGAAATAAATGATTTTTTTTCTAAAACTTTCGTTCTTATTCCGTGCCTTTTGCGCATAGACGGTGGCGCCATATTATTTTCCCGCGTTAGTGTGTTTATGTGTTGTATGTGGACCATTTCAGTGACACGACGTAGCACTTATCGATATAACCTTGAATTTCACATATTTTGAGTTATAACACTATTGTAATCGCAGCGCGACATGTTTATTGTAAGTTAATTGTAGTTCCGGGTAAAAAGTAAAACGATTGTCGTAAATACACAACTATAAGAATTGACAGAAAACATACCAAATAATATTTATTTTAATTATCAACTTTTTAGGTTTTCGCTATTACTACCTACGTATTATTGGTAATGAAACTATTTTTTTGGATAAGTCGTGTATATTTCTTTTTTTCAAAGAAACAACCGTAACTATGAGATCTGTAAAGAGCAAGAATATGTGGATTGCTCGAAAAAACAAATATACGTAATTTAGATCCAGAAAAATTGTTTAGTTTCCAATTTATTAGCGCTTTCGAACGATTTCGAAAGCGTTCATGATTTTGTTGTATCTGTGTCTGTTGGATAAAACATATTGAGAAATCTTCAAAATTTTGGTTCATGATTTTGTTGTAGAGCGTTACTAACGATTGAAGTTTTTTTCTCGCAATCGAAGTGAAAAATAAAGTTTTCACCTCAATACTAAAAGCCAATATAAACCCTCGAAGTAATAGACACCTTCGCTAAAGCTCCAGTGGCTAACCACTTTGGATACAGGTACATATTTTGGCTCCTTTTAGTCCCTTGATAGAAACTATAGTAATATTTACTGACGTTAGATATTGTTATTTCAGTCACTCAACTAATTAAGTCCACTTGCACTAAATCCAATATCGCATACCCTAATTGGTTTTTATTAAACTATCAATGAGATGTAATTGCCTACATATTCATTGATTAATTCGCGTGTTTACAACCTTTTATCGCAAAATTAAGATGCAACAAGCAATTCAATGAGCCATTAATATCGTCTACAGATTTGCTATAAAACACGATAGTACGTCGGTCTATTTGTACGCAATAAAATAGAGTTTAAATGGCAGTGATATAATAAATTGATTAATACTTGTGCTAGATATTTTATTACTTGATAACTGTAGCTTTGAAGTGTAGATTACTTCACACATGTATTATATATTCATATGAAATGAGAAGGGAAAATAAGAAAAATTAACGTTAAAATTAAGTTAACGATCATTATTGATGGTCATATATTAAAAACCTAATAAATTGGAAATTAAACCATTTTTTCGAATCTAAATTACGTATATTTGTTTTTTCGAGCAATCCAAATATTCTTGCTCATTACAGATCTCATAGTTACGGCTGTTTCGTTGAAAAAACAAACATACACGACTTATCGAAAAAATAGTTTCATTACCAACAATACGTACTAATGGCGAAAACCTAAAAGTCGATAATTAAAATAAATATTATTTCA